CATTTGTTTAATATGAGTAATAGGCCACACATATTTGCAGGAGTTCTCGTCATCCACGAAGCTGCATAATGGAGCTCAGTAGGCTCTTCCTGGACCTGTCTCTTATACACATCTAGATGTGTATAAGAGACAGCTCCACTACAGTGTGACTTTGGGTAGTTTAATCTTTCCAAGCCTCAGTTTGCTTCTCTGTGAAGTATGAGTAATAACATCTCAGATATTAGTGGTGGTATGAGAATTAAAGGAGACCACACAGTGGCAGGTGGTTTAAAACATGATTTTTACAAATGTTACCCATGACTTTCCAAAGTGCTCTGAGATTCTTAGGCTTAGCAGCATCTGAATTATAAAAGCTGTATATTTATGAGCGTTCGCCTTTCATGCACTAATTTCCTTGACCCTTTGCTTGGGCTGATGCTTATACGTACTGTTCCTGTACTTGGTCAGTGATTAAGGCCGGAGGTGAAGAAGAGGTCAGCCCCAACTCTTCCCCCCTTGGCTTCTCAGCTCTGCCCCATCCTGCGGCTGCTACTGTGAACTGTTCACACTTAGTTTGCAAATGTGTGTCAGAAAGCCCGGTTTCCAGCACTATAGAGAAAAAGCCACTCATGGCATCTGCTCAGCTTGCTGGGGCATTTGTAAGGGCAGTGCCATCTCCATAGCTTGCTCTTCACGGGCATTGTCTGTTGCTCACCGAGTCAACATTCTATGCTGAAAATAAAAAGGAAAGCACAACTCAAAGCTCACAACATTCCGTTTCCAGCGCCATGTTTACATTTTTCCATTAGTATTTCTTCATGATATTTGATCTTTCTTTTCTTCAGATTCATTGCTTTTTTATGAAACTCTCCTCAAACATATTAGAGAAGATTCTCATGGCCCCGCTTTTTTTTTTTTTTTTTTTAACTGAGTATGAGTAAAGGTCGAGTCTTCCCAACATATTGGAACTCTCTTTTAATAAGTTCTTTGATTACGATCTCAGAGGAATCTCATTTTTAATACCTTCCACAAATACTGCCTTGTACTTAAGACTGACTGTAGCATGGTGAATCAGACTTGGTGAAACAGACTTACCATGGTAAGTGATTTGAAATCTGGTTTGAGAAAATGTTACCAAGTAAGCCTACTTTGCTGAAGTTTCTTGGATTTTAGGCTGGGTCTGTGTATCTGAGATAGCATATAAACAGTTATACATACGCTGAAAACAACCAAATTCTTCAGCATTGCCAGACATAAAATAATATTTCTGTTCCAACAAATTTTGGGAAAGGGTTATCCCTTTTAGTATTTGTAAGAACAGTACTTTAAGGTGAAGGTAAGAAAGATAAATTGAAACAGTGCTCATTAATTTTTTTTTTTCTTTTTTTTTTTTTTGGAGATAGAGTCTTACTCTGTCACCCAGGCTGGAATGCAGTGGTGTGATCTCAGCTCACTGCAACCTGTGCCTCCCAGGCTCAAGCTATCCTCCCACCTCAGCCTCCTAGGTATCTGGGACTACAGGCATGTGCCACTACACGTGGTTAATTTGTGTGTGTGTTTTAATAGAGACAGAGTTTCACCATGTTGTCCAGGCTGGTTTCAAACTCCTGGACTCAAGACATCCTCCCGCCTCAGCCTCCCAAGGTGCTGGGATTACAAGTGTGAGCCACCGTGCCCAGCCTATTTTCTTCTCTTCTACTTCAAATAATATTCATTTCCTAACTTGAAGCAGATTATTTCCCATTTTATAGAACATTCAAAACTTGAAGGAAAAAAATCAAAAACCTCAGTTCCAGATCTCTCCCATATTCTATAAAAGAATGTCACAATAAAAAAAAATATTAACAGATCCCAAGCCTGTATTTGATAGATTTAAGGAAGATTACTCATAATGCTTTTAAGGTTTATTTTCTGCCAACTGATTGATAAGAAACAAATGACAGCTTGTAGGGGTCAGGTCCATTTGTTTAATATGAGTAATAGGCCACACATATTTGCAGGAGTTCTCGTCATCCACGAAGCTGCATAATGGAGCTCAGTAGGCTCTTCCTGGACTGTCCAGTATGGTAGCTACTAGCCACGTGGGGCTCATTCCATTTAAATTTATTAAAGTTTAATTTTAATAAAAAGCAAGTAAAAACAGCTCTTGGGTTGTGCTAACATATTGCAGAAAGTTCTGCTAGACACTTCAGAACTACACCAGCATATCCCAACTGGTGTCATCTAAAATACTCAGCTTCACTGGCATTGCTAAGGACTTCTGTCCCTCTTTGAGGTTGACGAGGCCTGACAGGCCATTAAAACCCGTAGGTGAGACATCACCATGAAAGAAATGTCTTGACTCAGACTGTCTCAAACTCACCCAGGTAGGTAACCCCCTTTTGAGCCTGTAAACACCCATGTAACAGCCTTTGGAAAAGAGACCGCTGCCAGAGATATCTTGCACTGCATCCTAAGTGAATTCACGCAGGACTTACCTTGTGTTTCAGTTCATGACAAACATACCTACTTAGAGGAAGAGCGCTGCGCACGCATCCTCTGTGTTACTCCTGCTGGATGTGGTGCCTGGGTTTCTCTGCTTTTCTGAAGGTCTCCTAAGACGTTGTTTGTTTTTTTTTTCTCACAGTTGAATCTGGTATCAAGTGTCACTCTCTCCAAGTCCGCGTCAGAGGCTTCTCCACAGAGCTTACCTCATACTCCAACGACCCCAACCGCCCCCCTGACTCCCGTCACCCAAGGCCCCTCCGTCATCACCACCACCAGCATGCACACGGTGGGACCCATCCGCAGGCGGTACTCAGACAAATACAACGTGCCCATTTCGTCAGGTAGATACTCCACGTTGTGCTTCATGTAGAGTTGTCATCTGCAATTCTTGTAGACCAGCCCCTTTTTAAAAAGCAATAATTAATAGGACAATGATTCTTATTCAGCAGATATTGCGCAGAACCAAGAATTTTATAAGAACGCAGAAGTTAGACCACCATTTACATATGCATCTTTAATTAGGCAGGTAAGTAAATAACACAGTATATGAAATTCTATCAGAAGGTATATGTGCATATGGATATATAGATGAAGTAGATTTAAAACCGTTTAGTATGCAAGCATGCTGAAACCTTTTCTATAAGGTTTTTTAAAACTGCAATATATAACATAATTGCTTTTGATTAAGTATTACAATACGATGTGATTATTAGGAAATTCATTTCACACAACAGTGAAAATGAGCCTGTTTAAAGATGGCAAGTCAATTATCACAAGCTACAGTAATCTCTGATCCCTAGAATTAATCTGAGCTCTAAATAATTACTGAGCTTTAATCAGCTAGTGAAATGTTTTGCATTTCTCTTTGATTCTGCTTTATGAATGACTAATAAATTAATATTTCTGTACGGAAACAGAAATAAAAACTCAAAACAATTAGATAATTCCATTTTGAATTTTGCTATTGAACTGTTAAATACAACCATTAATCTTAGATCATTTTGTGAAACCTTTCTCAGGATTGAGCTCTGAATCAGAGTGATTTTATATTTTCGACAAACTGTAACGACGACTCTGCTGATTTGGTCATAAATTATCTTCTGTTACATTTTGCTTCACAGGCCATTCTCGAATCTCCAGAAAAGCAGCTAACACTAAATGAAATCTATAACTGGTTCACACGAATGTTTGCTTACTTCCGGCGCAACGCGGCCACGTGGAAGGTAAGCTTTCTCAGGCCTGTTTATTCTTGGATCTTGACGTTCATAGAACAGTTTGTTGTTGATAAAATGCGGTTGTGCTGTAAGGAAGCTACATTTATATTGTTTTAATACACTTAAAGTGTCCAATCTCTAGGTGTATTTGATTGGGAAAGTAGTGTCATTGTGGTTGAAATGCTCTGATGGAAGACTCTCATTATACCGGCATCACAGTGTGGAGGGGCCAGCCAGTAAAATGATCTCCCTCTGGTTGGAATATGTAGAGAAAAGGAGATAACACCGTCACCCAGAAGTGGAGGTTGCCATCTTACTTGCACAAACCTCATGCCGTTAGGTATTCAACCACAGCCAATATTTGCAGAGATGTATCTCCAGAGATGGAACCTAGAGAAATGACCAAACTTGACACAGCCCTCAATGGTTGGATAAAGAGCTCATTAACCCAATTAGTAGAGAAAGCTGTGCACAAGTACTAGCACTGTTTGTAGGCGTTATTAATGGAGAACACAATGTATTATTAAGGGGTTTTTGTTTTTAAGAGATTTAAAACCGTTTAGTATGCAAGCATGCTGAAACCTTTTCTATAAGGTTTTTTAAAACTGCAATAGCCAGGCACAGTGGCTCATGCCTATAATCCCAGCACTTTGGGAGGCTGAGGCAAGAGGCTCACTTGAGCCCAGGAGTTTGAGACCAGCCTGGGCAACATAGCAAGACCCTGTCTCTAAAAAAAAAATTAAATAAATTAGCCAGGCATGGTGGCATGCACCTGTGGTCACAGCTACTCCAGAGGTAGACGTGAGAGGATTGCTTGAAGCAAGGAAGTTGAGGCTGCAGTGAGCCCTGTTCATGCCACTGCACTCCAGCCTGGGCAACAGAGCAAGACCCTGTCTCAAAAAAAAAAAAAGGGAGATTGTCCCTCATAGATACACTAAGGAAGAAAAGTAGATTTAGAACTTCATTATAATGCTATTTGCTATAAAAACAAGTCAAATTCCGTAGCTCTTTATTGGATGACCCCAGCAGTGCTTGGAGTCATATATGGCTTACCACATTCCCAGGTCAGCAGCTAGTTCAAAGATTCCACTGGTATTTATTCCCTTATATTAGACTGAGCCCTCACACATGTTTGGGCTTTCCCATTTTCGGTTTCTTGGTGACTAATACTCTTGCTTATAGAAGGGGACAGGTACACTCTGTCATTTGTATTTTTGCCTTTTTTACTACCTGGAATTCTTGTAATCCTTGAAATCCAAAACATTTAGAGATATGTGATAACAAACATTTGAGGGTATGCCAGTAATCTAAATATTATAGGGGTGTGTTATAGGATGCAAGGAAAACTTCCTTCGCTTGAAATAAATGCCTTCCTTGCTAATTCCTTAATTTTAAACTGGAGAAAAACCAAAGCAAAAAACAGAAAAATACATTTCCTCTGTTAAGTTCCTGATAAATTAGCATTTTAAAAGAAAACGAATGTAAACCATAGAATTAATTCATCAACTTTACAGAGCTGTGAATATCTATTATGGCCCAAATTATCCTTTCATTTCCATTAAGACACATGGGCACCGAAGAGAACCTATGTTCAGAATCTTCCCCTCTTTGCTTCAGCCTGCCTTGGGAGATAAAATATAAAAGGATCTTTAGCCATGAATGCTTTTAAAAATTTAGGAAGTTGAAGCATGAGGCAGACATTTTCTTCAGATTGCCTTTTATAAATAGAAATGATGAAATTTAAAAATAATTACCAGTTGTGAATATAATATTTACGCTTAGATCTTCAGATTGAACTTTTTCATTTTGCAAACTGCAGGAAAAAGTGTCATTAATATAAACAACCTTAGATGAAGTACTTAATGACTCACAAATACGTATAATTTTCTCTACGTGTCCTTGTTTGTACCATGATCTTAGACAAAAGATGAAATGCCCGGTTAAAGTTATGGCTGAAAAGAGCTTACACATCTTTTTTTTTTGAAAACTCTTGACTTCTCGTCGCTTTCTGCTTAGATGTGCAGTTTTGGAAAACAGATCTGAAGTTTTGGCTTTGTGTCTTTACTCACACGGTTATATTGCTCAACCTGATCTACAGAAATTTTGTCAAGAGTAGCTTTAAGACCTTTCAGTTCTGTACATTTTGATACTTATTTTAAAGCATCAGGCAGTGATTAGGATTAGTAGCAATGTTGACTTCTTTTCAAGTTATGTCTCCTAAATGTATAATGCCTTGTCTGGATTTTTAAAGGAAATTGGCTTTGTTCATTTATTTATACCACCTCAATTTTTTTCCAGTAAATAACAGTAGACCTTCTATCATGTGCCTTTGGGCAATATATTTTTTTAAATTACAGGCTCCTGCCTGTAATCCCAGCACTTTGGGAGGCTGGAGGATCATTTGAGCCCAGGAGTTCAAGATCAGCCTGGGCAACATAGCAAGACCCCATCTCTACAAAAAAAAAAATTAAAAATTAGCTGGGTGTGGTGACACGTGTCTCTAGTCCCAACTACTCAGGAGGCTAAGGCAGGAGGCTCGCTTGAGCCCAGGAATACAAGGCTTCAGTGAGCCATACTTGAACCACTGCACTCCATAATTGAACCACTGCATTCCAGTCAGACAAGAGAGCAAGACCTAGCCTCAATAAAAGAAAAAACAAAAAAAACTGCTTAGATTAGACTCCAGTTTATATGCAAAGAAAATTGTCCTATCAAGTATAATGACATGCCAAATGTTTTCAGTTTAGAGATTTTTATTTTTAAGCAAATCCATCCAATTTTTTTGAATCAGGAGTGTCCTTTGATAGTCCCCTGGGTATCTTGAACCTACCTCAATTATGCTGACATTACTCAAAAACTCTTCGGGAATTTATCCTGTGAATTCTCCTTTCAAGCAATTCATCACACTATGCATTAAAACTTGTCTCATTATCTTCTAAATATTCCATATCCGAAAAGAAAAATTATTATGTAGCTTGAATCCTCACAGCCACCAATTGTGATTGTCCAAAAACTGAAGCGCCTCTCAGAGTATCAAGATTCACCACCATTAAGGATAATTCAGGAAGGAAATACTCCGGTGGCAGAATGCGGAGGGGTGCAAAATGCTTGTGCAATAGCAGTGTTGCTGGAATTGAGTGAGGACTTTACCCAGTGTGATGTCTATATCAACTTCTTAAGCCCCAATTGAGTCATCTACTATTGAGTCATCTCCTTATCCTGAATAAAAAGAAAAATTTAAGTAAATGACCTGAATCTCTTTAGAATATCTTCATGTCCAGAATTGAGTCTGGATCCGTAAGTTTAACCAGGCAGGACTAAAGAAACGAAGCCTTGCTTTTTAACTGTACCCAGTAAGGGTGGGGGATTCTTCTGAAACCCAGAGGAAAGATGAGATATTAAAAGCTCTTCACCCTTGAGTGGAGATCCTCCTTTTTGATAAATTGTTGATGTTAAGGGTCTCAGCTTAGGAATGGCCAGAAAGGACTTTTAACCATAAATAAGATGTGTCTGTAGAAACCATCAACTGTAGAAATATAGTCATTTTGCCATTGAGTGTTTCACTCATATTCCTTTGGTATTTACTCAGTTAAAATACTTGCCCATAGTTAGGGCCAACTCTCATGTTCTGGAAGGTAAGACATAACATGATGATAGATACTGATCTCTTCTGGGGTCCATTCACCTCCCTAATCCTTTGACTACACAGGCACTACTCTCAGCGGTAAAATCCAGTTTAGAATTCTTCATAAGATCTCTGGAAGTTTTAAAAGCCAGAAACCATCAAGAACAAAACTGTATTTAGCAATATTAACCAAGTGTTCCTCTTTCATGGTTTGAAAAAAATACCCCCTTTTTATGGGAGGTAGGTGGGCTTAAAAAGGGCAGTTTTATGCTTTGCATGTGTTCTTGTTTTGAAGTCACAGTAACATTTTCAGATTTGTACTCTGGAACCTATTTTGGGCTTGTATGCATATTAAAAAATATTTCTTCTGGTTAGTTATTACCAGAGACTAGACAAAAATGCCAAAGTACAATTAATTTAAAATTTTGGTTTATTTTTGCTCTTGGAAAAGACATCCTTAACCATGAGAAGGTCCTCCACGGGGGTGGCAGCTACAGCTCTTGGGGATGGTTTTACAAATGTGGACTGTTAGGCTGAATTTACTGCTGTTTTTGGAGTCTTTTCTTATAGAAAATGTAAATGTTCTCTCTTTTATACTTGCTGCAGAATGCAGTGCGTCATAATCTTAGTCTTCACAAGTGTTTTGTGCGAGTAGAAAACGTTAAAGGGGCAGTATGGACAGTGGATGAAGTAGAATTCCAAAAACGAAGGCCACAAAAGATCAGTGGGTACGTCCACCATGTTTGAACTTCTTAGCCTAGCTTGGATTGTGCTAACAAGTATAACGTAGAGGCTTTGGCTGCTAGATGGTGTTAGACCAAAGAACTGGTTTCACGTTGTCTCAGTTAAGGGAAGCAAAAAAGCATTTCATCCCTCCTGTTTTGTATACCCACCAGTCCCCCTGCCCTGCTTGCTGGTCTTTGTTGCATCACATGCTAGTAGCTTTTAGGTGGCAATGCATATTAACCCTCACAAACCATTTGCTTATGCTTATTGCATTTTATTTTCTTTTTCCTGTTCCCTGTATTGGATGTCTGTTCCGCCCCCAACCCCGTCTCCTTTTGTTGCCACTCCATCTCCTTTGCTGCTGCTCCTATCCCAGGGTGCCATTCGCACCAACCTCTCACTGCATAAGTGCTTTATCAGAGTAGAGGATGAGTTTGGGTCCTTTTGGACAGTTGATGATGAAGAGTTTAAACGTGGCCGCCATATTCAACGAGGCCGTCCTCGCAAATACTGCCCCGATGAAAACTTTGACGAGCTTGTCGCACAGTAAGAGCCTTTACTTGCTTTTGTTTTTTTTTTCTGCTGTTGCTTTGGCTTTGCATGGTTGACTCATCCCATGTAGTTTTGCATTTCACCAATAGCAGTGCCACAGCTTTCTGCAACGAAACTAAATTGTGTGATTTGTACATGTATTGCTCTCGTTTCTCTTTGGAACACCAGTGCCTTGAATAATGCTTTTTTGACGTCTTTAATGCAAATATTCATTGTATTTTGATTCAGCAGCTTACGGGGACCCTAAAACTAAATACTTGTGTTTAACCCATAATCCCCCTCTCCCCCCGCCCCAAGTAAAAAGAGAATTTTTGGTTAGAGTTAAAATGTGTGTGTACTATTGGGGTAGATTTCCTGTTTGTTCACTCACTATAATAATATAAATGTAATGAAGTGAATGATTAAAATGTTCCAAGCATAGGAAAGAAATAGGTCTTATTGTGTATACTTACTTTAAAGGCCACTGATAAATGTAGGTAATTGCCTATTGGGAGGCACCCTTTTCCCTCAGTATGCCCTGTATTATTTTTGAATATTTTTATCCTTACGAGGTTAGAGATTTTTCTGACAACAGTATGTTGGTTTCATTTGGTCCGTGAATGGAGATGGCAGCAAATATTCTCAGGCCCTTCCAGATTTGCCCAAGACATCCCCATATTTAGTAACAACCCTCCCCTGGCATACCCTACTCTCCATCACCTGTTGGCAATAAACGTGCCTTGTAGATGTTCCTTAAAAGCCTTCCTGCCATCCCTCTAGCAGTCACTGTAGAGTTCAAATCTTGAAGATGATTAGGAGCCAAGATTCTCTCTGCTCACGCCCAGCAGCCCCTGCTGTGAGCTCACTGCCTTCCCCAGCACGACCTCCTAGGCTGTTGCCTTCCTGTTGGAGTCTGGAGTCAGGCTAACTCCTAAAAATGTGCAGAGAGGTCTCTGGAGGAAGGACCCAAGCCTGTTATTACCTAAGCCAGAATTTTACACCTAGTTTCCTTGAATAGCGAAGTCAAACCCCAGAGGTGTGCACACACACACCCAGCCCTACAAATCAGTGACGGGGAGAAAGCCTGACTTTTCTTGGGTTTTGTTAGTGGGGTAAATTGCTGATTTGGAAGGACACCAGCAAGCTTAAAACAGAACTTAGCTAGGAACTCAGGAGTCGACTGTGTTTAACTTTGAGTTTTTATCTTTTTCTTATACAGTAACCCTTCCCTTATTAAAAACATGCAGAGCAGCCACGCCTACTGCACACCTCTCAATGCAGCTTTACAGGTAAGATTAATGGCCATCCCGAATATGCAGCAGAGGCACAGGTCTCCCCTACTCATTTCAAAATATATTAGCCTTGCTCTAATTAGATATTAAATTTTAATTCCGTTAAACTTTTTTCTTAAGTGCACAAAGCATCGTACTCCCTGGAGGCAAACACATCGGGCTGCTTCAGCATTAGCGGGATGCTTAGCATTTTGAATATTGTGGCAAAAAAATTAAAAGTTCACTTATTAATATTTATCAGCAGTATCATAATTTCCATCCTCTTATTTCAGAATTTCACTTGAGGCAAAAATACCACAAGTGTAATTACTCTAGCACAGCTATTAATGTGCTGGATGATAGGCCACTGCGTCACATGACCTTCCATTGTTCACGGGTTTAAAGAGAAAGCAGGGCTTTGTATTTCTTCTTCTTCTTTTAAAGTCGACTTTAGCATCTTCGCTTTTGTCTGGGGTGGGGAGGATCTGGGATCTGGTTCACTTTATACAAGTAAACCGTGTCTGTTTAAACAATAGAGGTGTCTAAGAAGACTCTTTAGTTTGCCTGGAGATTGTTCAAGATTACATAACAATCATACGGAGTATTTATTTCCTACTGACAAACCAAGTACTTGTTACATCACCAGTGGTACCAGGAGATGAAGACGTGGGTTTTGAGCAGTAGCGAAATTACCACCCAAAAAGGAGCTACCTGAGGCAGCCCAGCTTCTAGCAAACTTTTTACTTATTGCACAGTTGAGTTCTTAAATGAAGGCTACACTCCAGTATCATTTCATTAAAGTACCTGGGTATAGTACTCAGGTGCCCCCTCAAGAGTTCATAAGTAAGCAGTATCCTTTTGGCCAGTGGTCCTGGTTTTTTCGCCTACCCAGACTGTTCTAGAAGACAGGCCAAGAGAATCTTGATAGCTTTTAAATGGCATATTCTATAGATAAATCTGACATTTGTCATCCAATACCATTGCAGTCCTCTGTAGCATACGTTCTCAACGGGGGCTATCTCACCCCCAGATTGGTTCTGAGATACTACAATGTCTTGTGTCCTTCCAAAGGACCATAATACATGAGCAAATACGAACATTTCTTGGGGTGAGGGTACAAAGAGAGAAACAAAAGTCTAAAAAGGGACAATAATGAAAAAAACAGTTGAGACCTTTGGCATGATGGGAACAGGATGAGGAAGGAGGACATAGTGACAGGAGCCCTGGGCCTTGCTCTGCATTAAACGGATGTTTATTGAGCACGACTCTGTACCCTACAGGCCCAGAAGAGTCTTAAGGCTCCTGGGAATTGATGATAGGCCATTTACCCAGTTTCAGTTTAGAGGCAGATTCACTGGCCTTAGCATTTCAGTAATTATATTTATTTATTTTTAGCCTGAACCAGATTTAATAGGAGAAACTACTTTCCGCGTTTCTTTTAATTACTTGTAGTTTACACAGTAACTTTAGAAGAGTAAATGAAAGCATGCTTCGATGCCGCCACTGTAAATACCATTCATTAGTAACTTATTTTCCCTGGAGTCTTCTGAAGTGTGAATTTAAAGGCTGCTCTATCTGGAATAGTATTAAGATTACAAGCACATTTTATATTCATGAGCCGGAAAGGCAAAAAAAAAAAAAAAAAGTGATCCTCCATCCTCTGAATTCTCTTAACTATGTGACTAATTTCAATTAGTATGCTTTGTCATTACAGAACTGTTCAGGTTTCATCTCTGAACATTTGTTTTTGGCATCTTCTTCAGTAGCCCAAAACTGTCCTGCCGTTTTCCAAGAACACTTTCTGTCCATAATGAGGCAAGGGGAATAAATTGATACAAATTCATGATTTGAGAAGTGGATTGTTTCCCTCTCTTCCACGAGTTTGGATCCCTGATCAGTAGACAGACACATAAGACAACTTTCTACTGTGCAAATTAAATAAAGATTCTGCCAGCAGGCCTTCCTTTCCATTACCGCCTATTTCCATTTTTCAAGACAAGTAAAAATAATAGTGGAACAATATCTTCAAAAAAAATTACTAGAGCAACATAATGCATGATATACAATATATAAAATAGGACAGCAGAATCCACTACAGAAATAAAACATGGGACTTGGGACAGATTGCATTATGCTCTGAAAAGTGAAGTAACTAAGGGTAACCGTAAAGCTTCGTATTTATAGACTGCCTTTCCCCTGAGGATCTCAGAGTGGTTAATGTTCCAGGAGCGAGGGTGCTTATGGACTTCTGCACCATTACTTAAGCAACTTCATTTTTTGGCAGAGGTGCCAGCTTGATATGAAACCACATGCTGTGCAAGGACCATTTCTATAATTAAGTCCATTTTTGTAACACACCTGCTTCTAAGTGGACATCACCTACCAAAAAAAAAAAAAAAAAACTTCGTTAGGCATAAGCAGTTAGTGAAAATTTCTCTAACCTTTGGTGGGTTGCTCTGATCACTTGCTCAACAGAGTGTGTTCAAGAAGCCCTCTTGCGAATCAGGCACTGGGATCTCTCTGCAGCCCATTTAATCATTTTTTCAAGGAACAAGGCTGATTTTCATCACTTCCATCTTTCTTGTCTGAGAACCCAGGGATCAATATAAGTGCTTGCCTTTGTATACCTTTCACTACTGTGGCGGTCGGGTCTCAGCCCATGTTCTATGATCCAATCCCGATCAGTAATGGCCTTGACCTGGAATACTTTGAGAGCCAAAGAGAATAAATACTCATCCCAAGAAGGTTGCCTTCTCTAGAGGATGACCAACTCATTCCAACGAACACATTCATATCAGCATTTCAATTTTGTCTTCACAATTTTTGACCAGGGAAGTTGCTAAAACAATTAAGCTAGCGGCAGCCCCACTTTTGCCACATTCTGACCTTGGAATAGTGAAATTATCTTGTGAGAGCTTATCTTATGGTATTTCCAGTGGAAAGACAGTTGGCAGAATTTCTGTGACAGAGAGGTGTGACCACTGTTGTCTCAGATAAAAGCAGTTAAGATGCTTGTCCAACTGCAGTCGGCAAAAAAAAAAAAAAAAAAAAATAGTTCTGGCAACTGCTCTGCCCAAAAAAAAAAAAGAAAGAAAAAAGGCTTTATTGCAATTATAAAAGAGCTGTTGGAAAAAGTACTTGATTCAAGTTACTGGACACACTGTAGGAGAGTGTGGACTGTTCAGATTTGCTGTTCATCAAAATGAGTTTACCGCATTTGAAACTAAAAACAGGATTGTACCCCTACTTTTAAAAAGAAGACAGTTACACACATTTACAAGTAGAGGGAAGGAAAAGCTGTGGGCTTACAGAGGGCCAAGCTTTGAAATAGTCCATTATCCGAAGCTGTGATTGGTGAGTATGCACAGGACTTCTAACACTGGGCTTGCACCTAGAAAGCCCTGGCTTTGGGGTTTGAATAGTGAGTGAGGCTGCGATTGTCATACTAGCCAGAGAGACTTCTGCAGCCTGGCTTTGCACTCTTTTGGCTTTTACTTTCTCTCTCGACCCAGGATTTCTAGAATAGTTTTGGACTGTTGTATGACTGGCCAGTGGAAGTCACTATGCCAGATCATCTTGTGATTGCACTTTTTTTCCCATTAGGATGGAAAAGCAGGCATAGTCTAGTCTTCAAGAGGACAGTTGTGATACATCTTGGTTTAATTACAGCTGCCAGTTTTTGAAAGTGTCCTCTTTGATAAAATGAAAAGTCAATGGGTCGTAATCACCACCCGGGTGAAACGAATATGGGTACTTTAGTCCAGTTCTGTATGTAACCAGTGTGTGCATTTCAGACTTGGTGTCCCTTTTATTCAAATGCAGTATAACAGGAAGTGAGTAATATCCTACCTATCCTAAATAAAGTTCAGGATTTCTTCTTTTTCATTTCCCCACTTTTTTGCTGACACTCAACGTGGAGTGACTTTGTAACCTTTGATATTGATGTACTTAGGCACCAAAAATAAATATGATTTAGAGCTTCCTTTTGCCAGAGCTCTTTAGTCCTAAAATCCTAGGCAGTTGGTCAGACTCTGAAACATTACGTGGTGTTTCCTTCAGCCAGTTATCTCAAACTGCGCTAAACAGATTCAGAAATCATTAAAACAGAAATGATGGGAGGAGATAAAAAATTGATTCCAATTGTATAATCTCTTCCTTTTCTATAGGATCTAAGAGGTGAATGTTTATGGAAGTTCTCATAAGTTTGAGCGGTACGGCCAGAATAATCTGATCAAAATCTCTAATATCCAATACTGGAGTCATCAAAATGGATAAAGAAATAAAAATTCCATTATACTTCACTGTGATCTGGAAATATTCAGCTCCTCTTAAAAACGCATCCGACATAAACCTCATATTCGAAAGCCTGTCTAAACCATGTGACTACCAAGCAGGACCAAATTGAGTCCCTCCTACCCACAGGCGCTTTGATCCCCCTGGCCCCCAGTTAGCTCTTCAAAACCAGGCTTGGGACAGGTGCCACGAGTCATTTTTAAAGCAAAATCTTTCAACACCTCTTAGATACTCGTATTTGCCAGCCATGCTACAATTAACTCCAACTGAAGATTATCGAGTACACCCATAATTAGTAGTTTCCTCGTCTTGCATACCCTGTGTCTTCATAAATTTTCTCTTGGTTGATGACAGGCTTCAATGGCTGAGAATAGTATACCTCTATACACTACCGCTTCCATGGGAAATCCCACTCTGGGCAACTTAGCCAGCGCAATACGGGAAGAGCTGAATGGGGCAATGGAGCATACCAACAGCAACGAGAGTGACAGCAGTCCAGGCAGATCTCCTATGCAAGCCGTGTGAGTATGGTCCACCCAAAAGGTCTTTGTTTTCACACCCTAGTCTCTCTGGGTACACACAGGGAGACGTCTCTTTCTCTGGGCTTTATATACCTTTTCTGTAATTTCTGGTATCCCAGAACCAAGCTAGAAGTTTGTACTTCAAGAAATGTTCAGCTTGGTTAGTGCATAAAAGGACTATTTGCTAATTTTCCCATAAAAGCCATTCCCAGCAATAAAATGGGAAACAGGTTTGCTTTTGTTCCTCTGCTTTATCACATCTCAGGCCATTATTTAAGCCACACTACTTTTTCCTCCTCAAATTAATATGCATCCCTATGAAAAAGTTTGCAGTTTGTTCAACTCTCGGGCATGTTGACCTAGCTGAGAGAAAAAGATGCTTGTTTACTTGGTGGTGCGATAACCACGAACACGACGCCACAGCATTATTACCAACCATTAATGATGGCACAAATGAAAGGCGGCATGATTTATAGATTGCTCTTAAAATATCAAAAGGAAAATTAATAGGAGCATTATAGCAGCAGACGGCAGTATAATGAGTGCACATATAACTGAATGAAGTGATGGGCGATGGTTGCCCATGCTGAATGTGAATGGAACCAGGACTGCAAACTGCAGGAAAGGCGGAGACCAGGAGGCCGTGCTGCCCCTGTGAGTAGGTGATGGGAGAAAACTTGGTGTAACTATAACCCCCTCTCTCCCAGGAAAAGTTTTCAAACAGAGCAAAGAAACCACGTTACTCCAAATGATTGGCTTTGCAGGAGATGCTGTGGAATGACAGTCTCTCCCTTTTAGTGAGTTTCTTCAAAACTGTTGCCTACTTTAAGGTACTAACCCATTTCGTGTTTGCAATACTGTCAGTTCCTAGAATAGGCTGCTTGTCTACACATTACCTCTGAATTACTGACCAACATCTTATTTTAAGATAATTTGAGTGATAGGAATGGAAAATAGGACCTGTAACAATTAGGAGCAGACGGAATTGGCATCTAATGACAAAGAAAAAAGTGTTACCTGCCAGCATAATTTGGAGGGTACGGGGAAATCTGAAATTTGATTTTCTAGCAGTTGAATTTCATCTCCACAGCACTTCAAAAAGGATCTTTACCATCCTTTGCGGATATGGAAATAATCATTTTTAATTTATATGAACAGTATCTTAGCATTTACTTCACAGCATTTTAAGAATGTGTTTATCTTTCACACTGATGCTGCTATATTTTCATCCTTTCCAAAGCAACTTAGTGTTTCCGCCTCTCTTGTTATCACATTCGTATTCATCTTAAATCATTGTCATGACAGGAGTATTTACTTAGATACTAACGAAGTTCAGAACAAACGTAAATTGGTATAAGCTACTGCAAGAAACACTCATTAGAGCAAAAATGTCTGAAGTTATTGAAGTGATACTATTTCTCATAATCTGTACGAACTCCAAGTTTTTGTTGACATATATTCCTATTATTTAGTATAAAGAAACAAACACTAAAACAGAAAGATATTTGGATGCAAGCCACAGGCACCAGTTCAGAGTGATGCTGATTTTGCTGTACGAAAGACAGTCACTGCAGGGTTAATTTGTTTAACAAATTTGAATTAACCCCAGTATTACCCAAACTATGTTTTACAATAGTCTTTGTGATTTTTGATGAAATAAAGGTTTCAACTATTTTTTACAAGAAACCCTACATAAAAATGTCAAAATGCGTTGCTCAAATCTCACAGGTGTGTGCTGTTTGCTAAATGTAATTATATGTCAACAGCAGATTCCCTGTGCCTGCTATTCGTGTCATAGACTGTTACTCTTTTTGACCTCATATTTCCATTAAGGGAATTCTGTAATGACAAGAGTTTCCATTCTTGTCCAATATGCATTACCCTGCTATGATGCAAATTGTTTTTCAACTGTTCCAGTCTATTGGAATAAATCAAGCCATAAACTTTACGGCACGGCTTGAAGGACCTTGTTAGGAAGGCAGCCTAGCTAATATTGAGTGTTGAAACAAAACTCTTCATTCTTACCCTTTCTGTGACACTCAGATACCACTACGTTTCATTCCTCCTTTGAAACACTAGAAAGTGGTCACATAATTATGGCTTTGGGGCATTGTACTTTTATCCTGATAGACGCTAAAGGAGCTACAAAGCAAAATACTCCATGCTGTGCAGACACCCCCAGAACACAATGCCTTTAAACACCAGTCAGCTTTATTTTAAAACTCTTGTGTTCCCAGAGTGGCTAAACAAAGGAATTACTCAGATGTAAGGAGAAGGGAAATGTGTGGTTTTGCACACACTTATTCAGTGGTAGCCCTTTCGGAAGTAGGAGTTGGAGAGAAAGGGTGGGGGCAGTGTCTGCAAGGAGAGGAAGGTGCATCATACACAGCCTTAACTTCTAGGAGACACGGTGAGTGTATGTGAAGTGTAGTGTCTTCAGTAGTCTGCATCACATCTCAAATGTATCTTTCATGGAATCCCATCCTCTTTTTATTCTTTGAAGTACTGTGTGCCTGTGCTACACCTTTGCCACACCCCAGGGGTATCTGCCAGTACCAAGAAGTGTCCTGAAATTGGATTTCATTTCTCTAAAGTTTCGAAACCTTACTGTCTAACTCTGCATGAGGCACTGGGAGTCGAGTCAGCAGGCATGACAGGATCGTTACCTGTGTCTTCTGGATAGAAAATAACCCTCATGAATTTTGGCTACCAGTTTAGGGGGAAAACTTTTTGTTTGTTTGTTTGTTTACTTCTACAGCTTTTAAAATTGATACTTCGTAACTACATATTTTGGGGGTACATGTGTTATTTTGATACATGTATACATTGTGTAATGATCAAATGAGGATAATTGGGTAAACAAAATATTCTCTGATGTTGTGAACTGTGTTTTGTGGGGCTTTACATGTATCTGATTTTTTGGGTAAGATTAGCACAATATTGGTCAAAGTCTAAAATTATACAGTGAGAACTGCATTAAGGTGGAGATGGTTCTATTTCTTCTAGGGGTCCCCATCCTGCTTCCCCCTCCCCAAGGTCTTATATGATCTTACATTCTTCTGTCATTCAATTCTGGGTTGTAAACATGAAAAGATTGATAGATCTGATAGTTAAGAAAGTAGGAAAATGTTGGTTTGGAAAACAACATGTGAACCTCAATCAACATATAGCTAAAACATAAATTTCTCAACAATGAAAGTTTGAAACAAACATTAGGAAATGTTCACCCTTGTCAGTAATCTGAGAAACACAATTTAAGGTATTTATACCTGCTAAGCAACAAAATATTTTTTACAAATAATGCTTGCTGCTGATGAGATTGAGTTTAAATTGATAGCCCTTTTGGAAGTTAATATCACAATAAATCACAGGAACCATAAAGATGTTTTGGCCTTTGCTCTAACAATTCCATTCTTAGAAATTTATCCTAAGGAGGTAAATCAGCAGAAGTAGAGTAGAAAGATTAATGGATAAAAATGGTCATTGCATTATACAAACAGTAAAAGAGAAAGAAAAAAGATGATCCTAAAATGCCTAGTATTCAGAAACTGACATAAGTCAACACAGTGGAATCTCATCTAGCCATAAACATTATAAATTGTAAAGCTAGGAAAATTTAAAAAATAGCATTCCTGCTGAATTTACAATATTTAAAAATATGACCCCAAATGGAAAGAGATTGGCAAAAAATAAGAAAACTGGCCTTAACTAAGGGTTTGTGTTTAAGGAATAATCAGTATACCTAATTCTTCCTAAAAGAATGTAGGGTATCCTAGCAAAGCTGGTTCACAAGTGTGACATGCAGTCACACAGGATCTCATGCCTAAAAGGACACTTGCACTTGGTTTTATGTGTTCTTTTCATTACCTTTATATTTAGGGATGGGGATCTTACTGTATCACCCAGGCTAGACTTGAACTCCTGGGCTCAAGTGATCACCCTACCTTAGCCTCCCAAATAACTTGGACCACAGGCACACACCACCACACCTGGTATGCACTTGTTTTAATGCCATTTCTGTCTTGAAATTGTAATTTTTGAGCCAAGGACCCCAGATTGTCATTTTGCACTGGGCTTCCAAAATTATGCAGCCAGTCCTAATTCTTACTGCTGACACACTAATGCGGCCATTTAAAAAAAAAATCCCCATCCATAATGCTTAATACAGACTACTGGGAGGGTGACTCCCCATGCAGCCTTCCTTGCACTGATGTACAACTGTTTCTCTTAAATAAAAATATCCGGCCAGCCATGGTGTCTCGCACCTGTAATCCTAGCACTTTGGGAGGCCGAGGCGGGTGGATCACTTGAGGTCAGGAATTCAAGACCAGCCTCACCAACATGGTGAAACCTCATCTTTACTAAAAATACAAAAGTTAGCCAGGTGTGATGGTGGGCCCCTATAATCCCAGCTACTTGGGAGGCTGAGCCAGAATTGCTTGAGCTTTGGGAGGTGGAGGTTGCAGTGAGCCGAGATCCTGCCACTGCACTCCGGCCTGGGTGACAGAGCACAATTGTCTCAATAAATAAATAATGAATAAAATAGATGGAGAGCCATACATAAAATGTAATATAATGCAACTTTGCTATCTTTTGTTCTGCAAATAGTTTTTAAGAATAAAGGAATTATTTTGTAAAGTTATTTATCTAACATCTAGCCCAACCAAATGCTCTCTCTAGACTGTGCTGATTTTAGAGTCAATGGATTCTGAAGGTTCCTGTCTTCAAGGGCAGTCCAAAACACTCCTCTGTTTGTTTTTAAATGGTTCAAGGGGCCTTTGGGGTTTGCATACAGCATTAATTATTTAGGAAGGCAACCATCCCCATTACCACCTCTTATTACTAATACTTGATAATGTCAGTTTAAAAATCTTCCCTTCTGCAGCCTGTCCCAGAGATGGGACCGTTTTAACTTGAATGGTTCTTTTCCATATCAAAAGGCCCTGCAACAGAAAGTTATTTGTATTTGTAAAGGATCAGTTGTAAATATGATTTACGAACAACATTTCTCAATTGTTATCCGAGTGGTTTTGTGTGATCACCCCAGTCCCCTCGGGTGAACCATGCGCTGGTCCATAATGAGAAAGTTGGCAGATCTCATCGCAACCACACGCATCCCAGTGGCTGCTACCAGCCGGGCCTCATGTTTTGCCTTGTTTACAGCTGACAGCGTTATTATTCTGACTGGGGCTCTGCTTTCTTATCATATTGTTGTGTTGAGCGAGCCTTTTCCTCTCCATTTGTGTTTCCTGGCAGGGCTTTTCTTGCCTTATTGACAGTTTGTAAAAATATGCATTAATTTGGAGTTTCAAGCATGTATCATGGTGTCTCTTTGCTGTGTTTGCTTGAAGTTGATTAATGATAGAACCTCGCTTCGGGTCGTCCTCTGGAGAGTTCTTTCACAGGTTCTGCATGTTAACTAGCAAAGCAGAACACACAGCAAGCCATGATTAGCCCAGCCTCCTCTGCTCAGTGGTCCCCACAAACTGCCGTTGCATCACAGATTCTTACTTCATGTAATTATTTGAAGATCAGTATTCATCCACCCAGGATGCCACTATGGGACCTGTTGTCTGGTACTCAAAGTGTGGTTCTAGGACCAGCAGCATCACCTAGGAGCTTGTTAGAGATGCAGAGTCTCAGGCCCCACCCCAATCCTGCATCACACACTGCATTTCAGCAAGGCCCACAGGTGACTGCAGCGTGCATCAAAGTATGAGAAATGCCACCAGGGAGGAGAGGCCCGCCCCTGTCCAGAGACTAGTGACTCAGAGCAGCACTACCCAAGAGAACTTTATGCAGTGATGCAAATGTTCTGTCTCTGTGCTGGCCAGAATTAACCGCTAGTCACATGGGACCTTTGAACATGTCAAACGCAGCTAACACAACTCAGAAACTGAATTTTAAATTGTAGTAAGATTTCGTTCATTTCAATTTAAAGAGCCACGTGTGGCTAAAGGCGACAATACTGGACAGAGTTCTAGTTCTACAGTGAGGCTTTTCTGTTGCCCCAAACTTTTCAGTGCACCTGAGCTGCAGTGGGCTGGGAAGTACCCTCACTGAACCTCTGCATATTTATTCCAGGCATCCTGTACACGTCAAAGAAGAGCCCCTCGATCCAGAGGAAGCTGAAGGGCCCCTGTCCTTAGTGACAACAGCCAACCACAGTCCAGATTTTGACCATGACAGAGATTACGAAGATGAACCAGTAAACGAGGACATGGAGTGAATATCGGGGCGGGCCAACCCCGAGAGTGAAGATTGGAAAAAGGAAAAAACAAGACAAAACACGTCAAAAGTTAGCAGTGAAATTGTTCTCCATTTGTTGTACAGTCTGGAGGATTTTCACTACATTTTGACAACTCTGAAATGTGTTAACTCTTAGTGCCATCAAGAACCCCATTTGGGAGTATTTTTGATTTTTCTACTTTTTGTTGAAAAAAGGAATTTGTACTCTGTGCATTGGATGGACTTGTTTGGTACTTGGGATTTTCCTCTCTTAACCGTCAACATCAGTGTTGTAAATTTGCTAAACTGATTCACTTTTAGCAGCAGACTTTGAACTGCAGTCCTGCCAACGTTGGACACTGAGGACGCCCGACGGAGCTTGTGCACCTAAGCTGCAGACCAAGCCTTTGCCCAGGATTTAAGGATTCCAATGGACGACCTATTTGCACAGTACTGCATGTTGATTATCACTGCCTTTACTCCATTTTTTTTTTTTTTTTTTTTTTTTTTTTTTTTTTTTTGCTTCCAGTTGGGATGGGGAAGGCCTTTGTGTGTGTATTGGGGGGAGGGGTTAAAAAATAATTATCCCAAACTTTTTAATGTATTGCTTTTTTTTTTTTTCTTCTACTATACCATTTTAAGTTCTGACCTCAGGCCTCCATTTGGGCCGATGGCCTCTTGGAGGCTTAAAGTTTTCTGTACCTTGTGATGAATGTTAATAGGTGTTTTTATTATACAAAGCTGAATGTCATTTCTCGTTTGTAGCTTTCTGTCACTCATTCCATCTTCCTTCAGACATCACCATGTTTCTCTAAAGTCAGAAAACATTCCGTTTTGGTCTTTTTCAAAAAGGTCCCAAATGCTGCACTCTACACATGAAGGCCCTCTCACACAGACGTGACGTCCTGCCAGAAAGAGAATGAATGACAGAAAAAAAAAAAGAGAGAGAGACATACTCTAGGAACAATGCCGATTCATTCCACGCAGCAGTATTGGGGGTGGCTGGGGGAGGGGTGTTTTGGAATTTTTTTTTTTTTTTTTTTTTGGCAGCAACCATCATTCTTAATAAATGCCACCACATTCTACCAGCACAAGGAAACATAGGCAGCACTGAAAAAAAAATTAAGAAAACTAATAGTAATTAGACTGACAATATGGCCTTGGAAGGCTCTCCCTTGTGGAACCAAGTTGCCATGGGCCTTGGGCCCTCTGTGATAACGAGTGTGGGTTGGTTTTGTTTGCAAAATGGCCAAAACCCCGGTTTCCCTGAGCAGCTGCCCTGAAAGTAGGGGTGGCAGCGGCACTGAGTTTATACATTAGTTCAAACCTACTTGGTGGCATTAAACGGTTTGAATGCAAATTCGATTTCAGATTGAACTTGTTAAGGGAGTTAATGAGGACTGAATTCAGCAAATGCTAAAGTGTCAATTTCAAATATGCAAATTTGGTACTGCAGTTTGTTATGCAATATTATGTCACCAACCCAGTATCACAAAAACTCATAGAAGATATCATTAGGCCCTGGGCTTTGGGGGTCCCAAACATGGTATGCAGAATGTGATGGTTACAGGTCAGTACAACCTCAGTCCTTAGAACCCCTCCACACTTCCACTCTGCACCCACCTTCCTGTCATTTATTTATATAGGACTATAGTTTTTTTTTAGTTTGAGAGCCTTTCGAAGCTTAATTTATATTCTTTGTACCTTTTTTTCTAAAATTACCAAAGATATTACACAAAGGTAAATTATGTTCTCTGTTTTATGCTTTATCTGATGAAGCCAAATATCCTCTTATTGTTGATCAAAGGAGGCAAAAGAATTTAGAGGCAAATGACAAGCGATAGGCTATTGCAACCTGAGAAAGAGAACTGCTCCTTCATCGTAAATTTAGAAGACCAAGTAGATAATCGAACCAAAGTTGTTACTTTTTTCTAGTATTTTTCCTTTTTCTTTTTGTGCACCTCTACAGAGACCAAAACTCATTCTCTTAAAGAGATTTTATGGGACTACTGCAGATAAAAATAGGACACAATATTAAAGGAGCTACAGAAGGAAGGCAGTCCCATCTCAAAAAAAATGAATGTATGCCACTGCAATTTAGAGTATCCAATAAAGGAGACAGTTTAGAGTCAGAACAGAAAAGCTTCCATAATTGAACTAGATCACATAATAATATTTCTAGAAGAAGAGATGTTTTTAGATTGTATGCCACTTTTGTTTAAGAACTGTGCTGTGATCACTGTATTAATTTTGGTTTATCTTGGCATATATCCTTCAGTTTGTTTTTTTAATTTTTCCTTTTTTTCCGATTAGGCTTTGGTCAGCATTTTTCATTTAAAGAAAAGTAACACTCCCATCCACTCATAAGCTTGGTACAAAAACTTCTCTGGCAGTTACTTTTGAAGCTTCACTCTGCTTTCTGTATAAAGGGCAGTCTGTGGTCACGCAAGACTTTAAAAAAAAAAAAAAAAAAAAAAAAAAAAAAAAAAAACTTTTCCAGGCAGCTTCATGATGTGCAGGCAGTAGCCAGACAGGGTCATGGGAAGGGGGCCCTGTGCTTCTAAACTGAGTGGTTGCTGGTTAGTTTGGTATTCAAAAGAGGATAAAAATCTGGTAGATTAGTTCATTCTCAGCATGTGTAGCTAGACATGAGTAAAGATAACAGCATGAGAAACTGTTAGTACGCATACCTCAGTTCAAACCTTTAGGGAATGATTAAAATTAAAAAAAAAAAAAACATTTCACTCAGTTGCACTTAGTCGTATGTCTTGCATGCTTAGTCTAAAGACTGTAGCAAAAAAAAAAAAAAAAGAAAAATTAGATTTTACATATCTTTGCAGGTATCACAGCCTTGCAGAAGAACCAACTGAAAAAAAAAATTCTCAGGCTTTACAGCAAGCAAACTTCACTATGATTTTTACAATTCCGATTCTGTATCCCCTGGGGGTTATCCCAGTTGCTTCTTTAGGATGGGGTTTATTATGTTGTACATATATCCCGATGTGTCTGTGTGAATCTTTGTCTTTTTTGGGGGAGGGCAGAGGGCGGTTCTTTTTTTAGATATTGTTCCTAAAAAGGAATAAATGCATACACCTGTTTGTCAAAACACCTTTGCTTTTTGTGCAACTGCTTTATATTAACGATACTAAAAAAAAATAGCTTTGGAAAAAAAACTACTGTATGTAATGGAATTGCAGAATATGCTGCACATGTATTTTATTTAGTTATCCTTGCTTTAAGAATATTGGATGACATTTCCTGACATGTGGGAGGGAGAAACTCCCTAACTTTTTTTTTCTGCTTTTAAATTGTAACATAGTTGAAGATTTCTTTTTTTTCTGTTCTCATTGATTGGAGCATTTTGTACAGGTTTTGTGTGTGTGTGTGTGTGTGTGCGCGCGCGCGCGCCCGCGCACGTGTGCGTGTGTGTTAATCTGTTTTTTGATACATTCCTATCCGTTGTGTTTATCCTACCACTGCCTTTCTGGCTATCTTAAACAAGTTCATACATTTGAAAAGAAAAAAAAAAATGTTGTTTAAAAAATGTTTTCTCCTGCTGCAGTAAATATTTTGCATGATGAAATTCCAGGGTCACACTTTTCCAAGTTTATCAGTGAAGTAGTGATTAACAATGGGGAGTGTCAAAACTATTGAACTTTTGTATAAAAAAAAAAAAAAAACTTTACAAGGTGCCAAGATGTAAAGAAAATTTGTTACTTTTTTTCTCAAAGAAAAGCATACATTAGGGAGGTAGTCCCGTGTGTCAGACAAATGCACTGTCAGGAATGAGGATCCAACCTACCTGTCCCTAGAGTCTGTCTTGTAAGATGAGTAAGGCTGCCACCTTGGACCAGCCGCAAAATGGAGTATCAAGGCTTATGTACATACATGAAGAGTTACCGCCAGCCCTGCCACCTTTGGACAGCTCTAACACCATCCCCAGCATCCCGTCAGACCTAGTAAAGAAAACCTTGGATTCTTAACCCAAGATATGCTGTAAATCACTAGCTTTTTTTTTTTTTTTTTCCTCATGAAAAAAAAAAACAGTTGGAAAATATTTTCTCTCTTTTCCACATTCCAGCTGAGCTCCGTTTCCAAAGGCACAAAGAAGAGTGTGCTTACTCAGATTTTGAATCTTTTGGGTACCTTTTGGTTAATGACATAGCCTTCTGAGATTTTGGATGTCTTCAAAGTCAGTTTTGCTTTTTTATCCTGAGAATCAGATTTACAATGCTGAAGGCATTTCTTGGGCCCAATGTAGCTCATGCAATCTCTGCTACCCATAAGCCTTGATGAAGATGATACAGTCTGGACTGTGAGCATGGTGCTTCATGTATATGTGCTGCCAGTAACAAGAATTTTTTTGTTTTGTTTTGTTTTGATAAGGCATAAAAGAAACTCATTCCTTGACATCAACTGTAATTCCATCATTCCATGTCTGCGGATACAGACAATAAAAAAAATGTTGTGTAGTCAGTACTAATGACTGACATTATAGCATTCTCAAATGCAATAAAAATGCTGGTTGTTCACACTGGTAGTAAAAGTCGCCACAGCCTAAGTTTGTTTCCCTTTCTGACCTGCTGATATTGTATGTTAGGCATATGCCTTAAGTTTATCACCAGCTGCTTCCAATGCAGAATTAAAATCAATCTTCACTGAAAGCTTTCATCATCAGGGAAGGCTGAAGCTCTTACCCTCAGGATTTCCAAGTGAAAGTATCCACTTAGAGAATTGGGAAGTTAAAAAAAAAAGTGCAAGAGATGCTATCTTTTCTCTTGGGGAAGCACACCCTTATTTTTTTCATCAAATTTTATAAAGAAAAACAAAATGTTTAATAACTAGCATTAAGAACAAACTAAAATTTCAGAGGAAGGAAATTTCATGAATAATTCATTAAAATTTCACATCTGCAAGATTAGTCATCCAAATAAAATGCTAATGTCAAAAACATGCACCGTCTATAATATTCTCATCAAGAAATCTCTTTGCATATAATGATAAATGCTTAGATTAGAACAAACGATTTTATAAAAATATTCTATCAAAAGTATGCTAGATAATTATATTCATTGAAGAAAACAGAACTTCAGTACCTAAATATTCCAGAAAAACCATCTTAATTTTGAGATTTAAAAAAAAAAAAATTACATGCGTTTAGGAAATTTGCTGTTTCTTTTTAATATTACTCTATAGTATATATCCTCCCTAGGATTAATGAATTTGAGCATCATCTTTCAGTAAAAATTAAATTGCCAGTATGAAAGCAGTATTTTAAGTGGCCAAACCATGGTAACATAAAACCATTACATATATAATGCAGAGCACATAATGCAGGGCAAAGGATGACTTGAAAATTAACCTCCCAGTCTTTATTCTGCAAAACACCCACCGATGCTGAGGATACAAGTGAACATTCTTTCCCAGCATTGTTTTGAAAAGCCCATATGTATTAGGAAGGTTGTGTGTATGTGTCGTCTGTGTGTGTTTTTTTAACAAATAGATTTTGCTATTAAGTTGCAAACTAGTGTCCTCTTTGAATTAACAATTATGCCCTATCTAGAAATCCCATAGTCTCATAATTAGCAAAACATTTGAACCTTTAATTCTCACCTGGCTATTGAGACTATAATCTTAGGGTTAATTCAAATTCCTGTCGTTACCAGGCTTAAACCTAAATACTGCTTACAGCATATACATTTAGTAAAATTTAAAAATGTACAGATACTTCTTTTAATAAGCTGGAGGACCTAAACCAAGTATGACTATATGTTAGTGAAGATTTTGCTGGTTGAGGCATAGTACATTTTAACTTATATTTCAGGAATTGTTCTCAAGCAGGAACACTCTTTTACATATTTATTTCAGGCTTGTCACTCTCATAAACGAGGCAGCAAACCCAAAATATTGGCTCTTCTTATAAATAGGCGCCTTTATATAAAGAACATAAAACTCTTAAGACTAATTTCACACCAACACAGGCAGCTTCATAATAGTAACCACCTCTCCCTCCCCCCCAAAAGAGATAAAAACAAAGTATAATTAGTCTTTCTTATTAGATTTTTGTCTTTGATGATATTACATATTTATGTGTAGGGTAGTAATCACAATTTATCTTTCATCTTCATTGTAGCTGAATCAAATAAAAGTATCCTTTATTCAAATAGTGTGAAGTTGGGTGTCTCAAACCTTCATTTAAGGAATTGACTGATGAAAGGTTTAAGACAAAATTCACATTGGAGGGAAATTAAGTTACATACAAAAACACGGTTTTAACTGTGGGACAATATTTGGATTAGAACACCATCTCTAGATATAACCTACTTATATTTATTTTTAAACGGTATTTTATTTTTTAAAATAACAAAACCCAATGTTGTCTTATTTCCACTTTGATTGTAAAATGACATTCAATGCCTAGTACCAAAATACCTATATACACACATTTGAAATTATCAACGGTCCTTTTTTTTTTTTTTTTTTTTTTTGGTTTATATTGAAAATATTGTGAAGGGAAAAAGACAAGCTTCAAGTTAAAATGTTAATTTGAAGGTAACCGGCCTTTCAAGAATTAATTTCAGCCAAAGCAATAATCATTATTTACCAGCATGTGACATTTTTATCACTCATCATATTAGCAAATTTCCATTGAAAATGCTAAAATGGTTCGTCATAAGGAAGATAACTGCTCGAGCTGTAAAAATGACCAACACAAGTGCCGGTACTCAAACATTAAATTATACTGTAATTAATAAAGACAGTTAAACTGTCTACTAGCAACAGCAATTTAGGTAACCACATTTGATCGGCTATAAATTGTAACTACATTAAAATTCCAGAAATATTAGCAATATGGATTACTTGATGGAAGTCGGTGCTGATCACCAACTCTTTCTTTCTTTCTTTTTTTTTTAAACAACGGAAGCACAGGTCATGTTGACCACAAATCCGTGGGCAAAGATCAGGCCTTAGCACTTTTAATCTTGTGAAACAAGCAATTACAAATAGTTGCATCGATTTGTTAAAAAGCTTTAGGTGACATAAATTGTTTCCTGTTTAGCTTATTGCTCTGATACATAAATGTCACCAAGCCCAGTATTAATTAGGGCCATAGAACAGCACAGGGTGGCCGATATGGCATCCAATCAAGAATTTGTCAGTCCTTTGTGAAAGTTCTCAAGGGCTGCTTTCACTGGCTCATTTCTCATTAGTGACAGAGAAAAGGAAAACTATTTTCTTATGTGAAGTCTTTAATACCAGCTTGATTTTGGGTTTTAAACTAAATTGCAGGATTTCAGACTTGCTTTCTTACTATTTGACGTAAAACGCCGCATTTTAAAAATATCTTCTAAATAGAATAATATTTACAAGGCATTTCAGCCCCTGAAAAGCTAACCCTTTTTCCCCTTTTCAATATAGGATACTATACGTGTTTCCTTGGGTTTATAAAATACAATTTTAAATGGCTTTTGCACGCTATTGACTTAACATAAATCAAATGTATCATATATACTTACTTTAGGTTGGCATGCCACTTAGAAAAATATGTGAGATTCTGGAGGAAAAAAGTCTGGAGAAAATTTATTAAATAGAAGTTTTTACTGTAATAGAATATTAATGTAAGCCAATGCTCTTTTGCCATTAAGCTGATCCTTTTTTTTTTTTTTTTAAACATACACATGCTTTTTATTATTTTGCACTCAAGCAAAAATTCCACATTCAAAGACTTTCCATCTACTCGGGAATGTCTCTGGCAAGAAACATGTCAAGAAATCCTGACCTCCCGAAAGACAGCAGACATCAACCACACTAAACATTCGCCCCACTGGGTAGGGAATACAAGCCCACTTTCCCCAAAACATAACGTAGACGCTGGTCACCAGTGTGGAAGAGGGGGTAACAATGACTTTAAATCCTTCCTCACCGCTACTCCACCAGTGCACAGATGAAAAATGTTTGATTTGCAACATAAAAGATTCATTAATTACCACTTGAATATTTAAAGCTATTTTGCAGTCTAACAGAGATAGATAAAGCAGTGAATTAAAACCTCTAATAAAATTGTAAAAATATTTCGCTAAGTTTACCCGTGTTATGATTTAGGGAGAGATTCAAGCGTTCTCGCAGAATAGATTCTTAGCATTTTTCAAGTGTGTATTTGAAAGAAGGAGCTAAGTGTTTGGGGAATAATTTGTTTCACATTTTCAAATGTTTACTAATAATTTATTTTCAAATCAAGCTTGCTACTTTGGGACTCTATGGATAGGAAAAAAAAAAAAAAAGTCTGCCAAACTGGTCAGAGCATTATTTGACCAGAAATTTAAATTCTTTAGACGTATTCCACTGGCTGTGTAAGAAAACTGCACATGTATCCCCTGAATCTAAAAAACATAAATAATTTTTTAAAGTATTCAGCTGGGCTGAAGGGTTTAGAAGCCATATACATAAAGTAGTGATTTCCTTCCCACAAAATGCATCACATCTAAAAACACTCACCTCAAGAACACAGCCTAGCAGTCCCTCCCACCCCTGCACAGCTCCTTCCGTCAATGGATCCATGATCCATTCAGTGTTTGGATCCTGGGATCCTAGAAGTAGATGGTGCCCAGCACACTCTGAAATCCAACGCTAGAGAATCCAAATACCAGGCTACCAGTTCCAGCCCTAACCAAAAGAAACTGGGTGACTTTAGCAAAGTTACTTCATCTCTTTGGTCCTCAGCTTCCTCTGTTAATTGAGGATATTTAAATGATGAAAAGGGTTTCTTCCAATTTTAAAGTTCTAAAATTTTAATAACATATTCTCCCTTGGGGACTTCTCTTGATGAAATCCATGGTCTCAGCATAAAAGAGTTGTGTGGCACTTCATATTTCAACCAATATTCTGAAATAGTCTTATCAAATCCTGTTGGAAGGAAATTTCACTAGCATGCATGTTTCTATCCACTCATCTATTCATCCATCCATCTACTCACCCACAAAGAAGCATTAAAGGCATTAAATGATCTACAGCTCAGAATAAGAGAGACACAGCCTTGGCCTCCTTGTACCTAATGGTTCACAGGGAGAAGTTGCAGTGCACGCAGTGCTAATGAGAGGGCAAGTACAGCAATACACAGGAAGACTGCCTACTTCCACTGGGGACCATCAGGGAAGCCTCCTGGAACATGCAAGGTTTAATTGAAACCCAAAGCCTCTGCCAACTAGAGGGAGGGAGGGAAAGTTCTAAGCAGAGGGAAGAGCACTCTGGCAGGACCTGGGGTACGAGAGGCATGAGTCTTTCCAAGCAGAGGGGGGCAAAAAACATTGAAAAAATATATGCTGAACCCACCAAGCATGCTCTGCCTCAGGGCTGGAAGTTCCTCTTCCCTTTGCCAGGAATGCTCTCTCCCTGGCTGTCTCTGTGGCTCACACCCTCCCTCTCCCTGCAGGCCCCCTACTCCAATATCCCAGCAGAGAAGCCTTTCCCAACCATGCAGGGTAAATGGCACTCTCATGGCCCACTCTACTCCCCACTCCATGCCCCACCCCCCGGCCTTT